CCAAAACATTCCTCTGGTTTCCGGTGAGACCAATATACGAATCCCTTCCACTCGCCCTTTCTACCAAAATAAAAGGTAAACAAACATCAATTTATTAAGGGACTTCTCTTAAACTATTTTTTTACCTAACTAAACAAGAAAGTTGGCTGCTTGAGATTCCACTTCCTCTACCTAATTTTGTGATCTAACAACGGATACTATGATTTGCTATTGAATGTTTAACTTACCTTTTTGTGGATGAGCTCCAGCAAGATTTAAAGTTATTTAAGCTTTCTGTTTTCATGCTCTCCAGACCTGTCTAACAGCCAAACGTTGGTTAAAGTCTTTCCTCCCATTCAGAGTGCTGGCTGTCTTGTTTATTTATATTGCTAAGCTTACTTCCATTTTGGGTGGAAGTGTTTGATGAAGATCTTTGAAGGTCGATCCCATCAGAAGACGATGACAAATTCCCTTTGACCAGATGTCGATTGGCCTTACTAGTACATTTTTATTGACTCTGTTTCCAAGTCAATCTCCTTCGATTCTTGTGAAAATGGGCTAAACTTTCGTCCGTCCTATAACGGACATCATCAGAGCAAGGTATCATCCTTACAACCATATTCAAACTAAAGAATCTTCGCAAATTTCTACTGTCTCTCAAATCTTAGCTGTAAAATTCTTGTATTCTGCACAAGCATGTTTCACTAATCAAGATTTTAATATCATTTGGTTTTCTCCCGCTGAACTTGCGCCCTCTTATGCAACTGATTGCTTTTAATTTATAATTGATCCAGTCGAAACTTCTTGTCTTGTGTCCATAGCCCTATTCCATCTCTTGCTTAATTATACGATAATCCTCACAGATCAGATCCTAGATTCCTCGTGATAAATGCATAATTTATAGTGGGTTTATTGAAGCATAGTCTCATTCATTCATAGGCATGAAAAATAAAATGGTGTGGCCGTTTTTGTGGTCGCAGTCTCCTTTCGTTGTATAGAAATTGTTTGACCTTGTTTTACCAACATGGTCATATTGATATGAAGACTTAAAGGAACTCACTATGCCTGGAGTCCATTGTGTGCGTGATCATTTCTAAAATTGGACGGTGGACGTGTTACATTCCCAAACGTTTCGCCGGCATCTTAGTCGACATCGTCAATGAGTCTCGCTATTCGTAGCACCATACAACAACTCGTCAAAGACAAGTTAACCCGATCCTTTGACCAAACATGTGCTAAACAATTGTGATATCTCCCCTTCTGCCCTTGGTTATTCGCGTTTTCGGTAGCATCCTATCATGCCCTCACTGTTACAATTTTTACTGTGTTTATTTAGATATAGTGTGATGTGCTTCTTTGAGCGACATGAAACCTTCACACTCCAATTGTCGTTCTCACCCACCCACCCCCTTCATCCTTGGGCAGGGAATGTTAATCAGAGTCTGTTTTATTATTATGCAGTCCATTTTCCTAGTCTTATTCCTGTCTCTCTTGCTCTGTAAAATCCGTCTGCTCTGCCCCTTGTTCACCTATTTCACTAGATTCCTGCCACTACATCTGTCCTACTCGAGGCGTTATTCGCCCTCTACTGCGTCTGGGTGACTAATTCGAGGCGCAAGCCTCTGAGTGTCATGGTCACCCCTTTGTTACATGCACTACGTCTCGGGTACAACAGACCTACCGTCAGCCAACTAACTCCGGTCCTTGCCGTCTCTATCCTTTTTCTATCCCTAATACCAAGTCTATAATTTGCCATGTCCTAGTCTCTTGTGTGCCAACCCACAAATGTTGTGGTACAGCTTGTTTTGATTTGGTTCAATCTTGAACCACAACATTTGTGGGTTGGCACACAAGAGACTAGGGCATAGGAAGTAATAGGCTTGGTATCATAGATAGAAAGAGGATAGAAACAGTGAAAGCTCGTGTTTGGTTGTTATCCTCATTCTTGATTTGATTTTCATCAAATTGAAGTTGAAATCGCCCCTTTATCATCTTTACATTTTTCTCTATAAATTCTATGGAGTATCCATTACTTAAACAAATCCGTGTCAGTTTGTACAACTCCTCGTCCCACAACTCTGAGTCTCAGTCGTAAGCTTCTGATGATCAAATTCCTCAGTATTCTTATCTTCAGTCTGTAGTTATGATGAGATTGGAAATAAAGGATTATTCCCGCATACGAATCCTTTCTGTATAGTTTCCTCATGAGTGTCCCTCTGGAGCGTATGACTTCAACATCTAAAAGGGTAGTAGTTCATCTTCCTCCACCTCCATTGTAAACTTAATTCTTTCATCAAGTTGGTTAATGAAATTGAGGAATTCACTTAAGTTTTTCTTGCCGATCAAAAGTGCAAAGTAGTCATCCAAGTATCGCATGAGCACTCTTGGTTGCAGTGGTGACTTTTCCAATTTCCTTCCCAACTTGTCCATGTATACATTTGCAAAAAGAGAAGTGAGAGTCGAGATCCTATCGGAGCAAGAGAGAGACTGCGATAGGACTAGAAAAGAGGACTGCATAAAGCAGACTCTGATCAACATTCCCTGCACAATGATGAAGGGGGGGGGTAAGAACTACAGTTGGAGTGTGAAGGTTTCATGTCACTCAAAGGAGCACGCCACACTATATCTAATTAAACACGTTAAAAATTGTAACAGTGAAGGCATGATAGGATGCTACCGGAAACGCTAATAACCCAGGGCAGAAAGGGAGATAAGACAATTGTTTAGCGCACGTTTGGTCAAAGGATCGGCTTCACTTGTGTCTTTGACGAGTTGTTGTATGGTGCTACGAATGGTGAGACTCACTGACGATGCCGGCTACGATGCCTGCGAAACCTTTGGGAATGTACCACGCATACAATGGACTCCGGATTAGTTGCGTTCCTCTATGTATTCCTACCAATATGACCATGTTGCGAAAATAAGATCAAACAACTTTTATATCATTCATTCATAGATTGCACAAGTTTGAGTGCTTATCTCTAATTTCCTGATATCTTAAACTTTCTTAAATAATTTCTTGTTTGATTTCCCTTCTTTCTACTCGGATAACGTCTTAGATACATATCTAGTTTGATTAAAGCCATCTTTATCCTGAAATTCATACTTTTCTTTAACTATACTTGGCTAGGATCTTGTGGCCTAGCAGCTAACTTGCTATTGAATACCAATGGCTGTGTTTACGGGGCATATGCCAATTCCTTCCCTTAGCGAAAACAGATTTTTAGGGTTAAATGACCTAGGGAGTTAATATGGATGATCAAACAATTTATTCAAGCAATCTAATGTCTAGGCTCATTTTTTTTTACAATTTTGATCCTTCATAACTTTATAGTAATATTGCACTAGCATGTATCCGCTAGATCTATATTATTATATTTTTATTCTACTCTTGTTTTGTCTTAACCTCTATATAACAACTTGACAGGTCGATCGGCTAAACGATGCCCGCTTCCAGTGCCCCGTCCTGTATAGCACCTTGCAAATTCCCCGACCTCCTGTGCCTCGGCGCCAAATCGCCGCCCTTTCTGGCCCTGGATCCTGGCTACTCTGTGGAAAGGAAGGATACGCAGGTGAATCCAGCAATATTTGTCACCGGAGCAGATGTATTCGAGGTGTCACTACTTCTAACTTACCTTTACCTAATGTTTCTGGTAGCGGCTCAACTCCTACAGAATCTGGAGCAGATAACCTGCTTGATGCAGATGACGACGCATCAACAGATAGACGGCCCTATGTTTACATGAACTGTGGTCATGTTCACGGGTTACATCCCTGGCAGGCATCTGGCGACACGTAATACTTTTTCCTTACTAACTCTTACTATTTTTTATATAATTTAGTCTTTTTATTCATCCAGAAACCCTCTTTTGGAGGACAGTCTCGCTTACTCAATCGATATTCCAGTGTCTCAATAGATCCAATTCCTTTTGGTTTAGTCTAACCGAGATTATATTTGGAGCATGTTACCGTTATTAACAGTTTTGATCACTACCAGAAAGCATCTCACTCAACATTTGCATCCACATATGTGACGTCCGGAGATCCAAGAGTGGTTTAAGCAGATTGGTTTGAAACCAAAGCCCTGTTCGAGCAAAATCCTTCGTTTCTCCACCTGATTTTGTTTCTATTCTCTGACATTAGCGGATTCGAAAATCATCTCGATTCTCTAACTTTTTATCGGGGGCATTTAGCTTCTTCTTAAT